TATAGGTCAATCATTACGTAAGATGCCAATTCACGAATAACAAACTATTTGCCATCTGGAATCTGGCCTGGCAAATGGTTTCTCAATTATTATAGTACTCGAATAATATATGCATATAAGAACAGTGAAAGAGTCATGCATGATCGTTATTGAGGGCGATACAGGGTGGCAAGAAGAAAATCCATACACGCAAAAAAATTGTACAATGTACCCGTTTTAGTGGAAAAATATATTTCTTTTTTCAAATAAATACAAACCAGAACTATTTCATAGTCGCAAACCGTTTTCTTTTCAGTGCTCTGTAAATTTTTCAAATAATTATTAAAATTAAGTGTATTTCATAACATCAATATACAATTCAACTTATGTTCGATACGCCTAATATGTATTATGTGTATATCAGTACAGTCCAACTGGTGGAAGTGCAAACTGTGAAAGAGTATCTTGTCCATGTAAGATCATAAGATAAATCTGAATTATAAATCAATCCTTATTTTCTGAAGCAGAAAGGAGTAGAAAGTGGTTAGAAATAAAGGAATGGCAATACTTGAATAACTCAGTGATCTGATAGAGGCTGTGGTAACAAGGGCGCAGATAAGTTTATTTATGTAGGGGGAGGGTTACTTATTTTGTTTGTTTCAATAATTTTTCTACGAACACTTCAACCCAGATATGCCTATCGTCCTTCTATAAGGACACTGCGGAAAAAGTTTCCTACTGCGTAACTTGTGTATCTACGCAGCTTTTCTCATGAATGGCATCACTTATATCGAATGAAAGAACATTCGTTATAGATTATTATCAACACAGCTAATCAGCAATAAGTGAATACAAATGGAAATCAAACATTCTATTCAAATTGGCAAGCATATTAATCTCAACTATCTACAATCTTCAGAAGATGACGGAACTAATAATGAACAATCTGAAATACCTACGGAAATTATGTCTCCTCTCAATTATTGTGTACTAGTTACAGATTGGGACTCAAGCGATGAAGATAAAATTTTTTGATACAACCGGAACATGGGAAGGGGATTTATAAAGCCGACCAAAATATTAAAGAGTTGCGCTACGTGGTAATAAATGGTACATGCCTCTTATATTTCACACGTTAGATATGTGTGAAAACAATGTGTGGCAATTACATAGGATGCAATTCAATTTTGGAAGTTGAATCATATTCTCCAATTGCGTTTATGTTCAGAATGGTTTTAATTTTAATGTCCTCTTGTATTATATTTCGAATATTGATATTATAAAAACTTCTATTCCAGGAAATATCACTCATTCGTCTACTGTTCTTTTAAAAAGACATCGTCTTTTTGGAAACCCCAGCTTTCAATTTTTTTTTCAAGATATTTCTGTTACCCATTTTCGAATACTTAACTAGTTATTAACGACAAATATCGAAATTTGTAAAATATTCTCAGGCATATCTGGGTTAATAAAACACAGATGCCTTCGACTTAGACTAGCAAACCTTTTTGACACAGAGTCTGGATATTTTTATATATCTATATGGATGTGCATCATTGCTAACCCAATAAGTCTCTCATCGCTCATTGTTGATCGTAGCCTTCGATCATACAACAGTGTTCGGATATCGTAGCCTTTGATATCATAGCCAAGTTTTGAGCCTTCTGAGGGATGAAAAATTTCTTTCTGCCGTTGTTTCACTCTGAGCTTCTTTGCTACGTTTTCAATATTTCTTCGGGTAAGCACAATTCCGGTAATGGGTACAACATTGCTGCACAGTTGTCAGTAGCGATTCCAAGTTTTTCTAGTGCTCTTAGTTGCGACTCCATTTTATCGTACAGAGATGTCAAATTGTTAGTTTTGTTGGTGAGATTTTTTTCAAGACCAACTTTGAGAGTTCCCTCGCGTAATACCCTATAAGCAAGTCATCTCTCCCAAATCTGGACTTCAAAAAATCTAACCGCTCGTCACAATATTTCAATTTTTTTTAAACCGAGGAAAGGAATATCATTAGTTTACTGAAATATTGAACCTATTCATTCTTCCGCACAGATAAAATGATTTCTTGGAAATTCATATCCGAGATTATAAATCAAGTCGTTTTGGAGTTTCAACAGTCCTTCCCGAACGAGTAACCATTTTCTTCTCAATATTTCCTTTGTTGAAATATCACTGTTAGTATTTGATTCAAGTGAATCCGGTAAATGAACTGATTTTCCGTCGGACTACTCTGGAATTTTCTCTATCATAGCTCCCACTTCTTCATGTCTGGAAATTTCCAATGGGTAAAATCTCTGAATTGGCCTCAAAATCTGATTGCCGGATGGAATTTTAAGACGTAGCAATCTTATATGACACTACCCTCATATCTACGGCCTTGAGTGGTAAATGGTAAGTAGAAGGATTTCGAAACCAATACCCTAACAACACAAGTACATCCTAGGGACTTCCCACGGACGTCCCTAATTTTATAGTAGGATATCCCAGGGATTTCCTTTGTAGGGACAAAGTACATACTAGGGACGTCCCAGGGACATCCGCTGGCCGATAAAAAAGGCTTCTAAGGGATATCCCTCTAGTACGTCCCTGGGAAGTACCAAGTACAAAGAAAGGAAATCCCTAGGACGTCCCAAGGATATCCCAGGGACATCCCTTCGAGAAAAAAATATAGGTCCAGTAGGGATTGAACCTGGGACCTTTAGCATATCAGGCACGCACCTTACTCCATTGGCTATTATGCCTTATTCTGAAGATTTAAGCACAAACAGATTTATAAACAGGACTAAACTACAGAAACCTGAATAAATACAACTTTGTTAGGATTTGGGTATAGTTATTATCATTCTTGGGTGTTTGGAAATGAGGAGCATTATGCATTTAAGATTTCTGTTTGCGAAAAACGGTCATTTCTCAAGAAGTTCTGAGACTATATTCTTTATTTTCATTACAATTATTTTCCAGAAGAAAAACAAACATTTAAAAACAATTCAACTCAATATTTTGATGAAATTCAATGACTCTGAAGTGAATTGATATCAGATATACCAGGGACACGAATAGGATAACCTAGAGATGTACCGGGCGGGATGTCCACTGGACAACCACTGCGGGACATCCCCTGGATGCCCCAATCATGTCCTTGTATAGCGGGACAAAAAAGGAACGTACCTAGGACATCCCTGTGTTGTTAGGGTATGATAGAACTTGTGAAGTGTGTTTCTTGCTTTTTATAAATTTGATCTCAATATAGCTCACTATACAAAAATATCTTAGATTGTTGATTTGGTTTCCCAAATTATTGATTCTAAAACGACCAATTTAGAGTGGAATGAAATAAGAAATGTTTGTTGATCACCTTCAATACAAAATTTGACGCAATCATCTTTAGCGTTTCTTGATTCTTGCGAATTGTTGTTATTGTATTGTGTCGTTTCGTTCAATTGTAGTAAAACAGTGTGGTGTGGTATCACAGCTCTTTCGCACACTTTGTCTGGCCCTAAAACCGTCCGTGAATGTAGGTATACTCGAAACGGCTACCTTCAATGCTTCAAACACCGAATATACAAAATAAATCGCTTAATTACTCGAATAATCGGGCTTGGTGGGTACGCATAACGACAGTTTGACGTTAAACTTTCTCTATGATGTCGTTGCCGGAACGCTGAAATGGACGAATAATCCTGCGAAAGTTCACATTTGATTATGCCCTAAAACGTTTGTCGCTTCGATGATATCGTCTGGATTACATTCGAAATGTCTGGACAACTTTTTACTACCTATATTTTGATGAGGACAGTCAGAGTCGGTATGATGATTCGAAATTTCGATCTAACGACAAACTTCGAGGTCATTATAAGTACGTACACCTCTATAGACATGGAAAATAAACAGACTGGAGACTGCATGAACGAAATTTGAATGAAAGCTGGATTAGAGCACATAATAAGGGTGGAAGCCCTTTGATCGTCCTTCAAGTCCGTTGGTTTTTATCGGCTGGGTTTTCAACCCCGACTTCAAGAGCATGTTATTAATCAGATGCGTATACAGGGTGATTCACGGTGTCTTACATTGTATTTTCATATTCCGTCAGAACAGCTGATTTCATCAATGTATCGTAACCGGGGTCTAGCGGAAATTATTACAAAGGTACCTATAGGGAGTATAGGGTGTTCAAAATCGAGATGTTTCAACTTAAGTATTTTTTTTGTGTCGAAACTAATCATTATCGGCCAAAATGGCTCTACCTTAACTTTCGATTTACTCATCTAGTGACATTCAATTGGAATAAATACAGGGTGGTTCAAGATTTAGAATTCTGGGGGAAGGATGATCATTTTATGACTACATGGCAAAAATGAAACACAAATAGTTTTTTCACGAGTAGCCAAATGAAAAAAAACTTCCATCTCAGTTTTCTCAATATCGTGAGTTATTTTCGGATGATTTTTTCAAACTCAATGAAATTATTGGCAATCTTCTGGGACCAATTATGGTATTCTGATAATATCGTCTAAGTAATGATCTTTGGATTTCTAAGCCTATCAAGCATCGAAATGTCATTGCATTCGGGCCACAGCCAACTTCATGTATTTCAATAAAATGCAATTTAACAGCCAATTAATGAACAAATATCAAATTGTGATACATAGTTGAATAGAGAATTTTGAGGCAAATAAGAAAGGATACAGATATATACAGTGTGCCATCTAAAAAGAAAGTTGGGTCTTCTTCCAATCAAGCAGGTGGTTGAAGAAAATTGTCATTGGATTGAAGGGAAGCGCCATCATTGATAATATATCCCTTGTGAATTATTTATTTTTAGAGCACCCTGTATAATGGTTCAAATTTACAAAGAATCGGAGTAGTGTGCACTCCTGTCGACAAATAGCTGGTGAAATATTGCCAAAAGAAATCCAGCACGCTTATAGGGCAGTGCTCCTAACAAATTAGTCTCATCTGACCGAATTCTTTGGCGACATAATAAAATATCTCCATCTAATTCGTTCGGCAATCGTTGTGTAAATCGAAAATATGTTGAAAGCATTAAAATGATTATGTTAATGATTTAGCCAATTGAGTCCAGATGAGAGGAGCTGGATCGCCAGTGCTGATGCTGCACGCATGGACCAAGTCATGTGGTGCAAGCCTAGGCTCAAGACAGTTTTGGGGGTCTTGAAGTGGTGGTGCTGCCTGGTTCTAGTGGTTTTCGGGAGTTTTCTGGATGAGGCGCTAGCAAATGATGGTGAGTACAGCAATTTTTTCTCACCTTAAATTATTATAGTGCCACGGATAAAAAACCATATACACTCAGGAATTCTGAAAAATACCTGGTTGGTACTATAATAAGTAGATCTTCCAAAGGTCTGGCTTCTACGGAAGCGTAGAAGGGCGACATTGGAATAATAGTTATTTGTTTCACAAGGAAGGAAAGCAGTAGTAGTAGTAATCAGTAGTAGTCAATCTACATTTACTGCCGTGTGAAACATATAATTTTTTCTCCAAATGTTATGAAACCCATTTTGTGCTGTTTTTTTTTGTTGAAAACTCCATCATTTTTTGTTCACCCAATGTCAGTGTCAATTTTGATTACAAATTTTATTAGAATTTTCTGGAACGTTGCATAGCAACGAACTTCTCCTGCCTAGAGAGTAAAAGTACACCTTCAACGCCTGTTAAGTGTCAGAGTGAAGCCACATTCCTTGTCGCTTGGAGAAAATAGCTATTTGTTTTACTAGGCAGAAAAGTTCAAGATTTAATGCCGCGGCTGGCGTTTCATAGCCTAGGCGTAGCCGAGGCTAGGAAACCAGCCAAGGCATTACATCTTCTTTTCTGCCATGTGAAACATATAATTTTTTTCTCCAAATTCTTTTCAATTTCGCAATTTCTTGTTCATCCAAAGTCATTGCCAATTTTAATTACCAATTTGATTCAAATTACTTGGAACGTTGAATAGCTACAAACCTTTTCTGCCTAGGCAGTAAAAGAACATCTTTTCTGCCTGTTAAGTGTCATCAAAAACCCACTTTCAATGTCATTTGGAAAAAAAATATATAATTTCGACTTCGCAACTCAGAATTAGTATAATTTCGACTTCGCATCTCAGACTAAGTATAATTCCGAATAAGTATAATTTTGAGTTCACAACTCAGGGTTAGTCCAATTTCGATTCTAGGATATTCTGGATATCTAGTGAATGTCTGAATTGCATCAAAGGATATCCTATGGATGTTCCAGGCCAACAACCTGACCATCCATAAGATGTCCATTATGGACGTCCCAGGTTGATGGCCTATGGAGTCCATGGAGTATCCTTTGAATGATATTTGGACGTCCATTGGATATACAAAATATTCTGAATTGATCTACTGGACATTCATCATATGTCCATGTACTATATGATATCTCATTTTTGTGTGAAACCCTTCGTAGAAATCATATGATAATTCACTAATGGGACCTTGATACGATGATGAATCATATTATGAGGTAATTTTTCTTGTAACAAAATTCCTAATTTGTTTTCATGAACAATTGACAACATTTCATTTTAATACAAACGTACGGCACTATCCATTTTTTTTTATCTGATCTGTTAATCTGATTTTGCATAAACTTTATCAATAGCTTGCAGTGAATTTGTTGGATGTTCAAAAACACAATGATTTAATTCGTTAATTTGTTGAGATATTCTTAGACATAATAAAGTTTCAAATTGATGTTTTGGGAGTACTTCCACAAAGTCTATGGAAATTCCTGATGCATTTGAGATAAAAATTGAGGAACCCCGTATAGCAAGACATCAGATCAATATAAAACATATTGAGATAGTGTCTGCAGAAGATTACTTCAAGACTTCTTTCTTCATTCCATATATGGACACTATGTCTGATATCTTCCCTGAAAATCCGATTCTCTCAAAGATACGCACACAGCTTTATCGATATCGAACGAGAAAAATGACATAGCCCCCAAAAAAATATGGCTGAAACCTAAGAACCTAAGACATTGAAGATTTTTAAGAGGATACATCGACTTGGATGTGAATTTTTCCCGCCTATATATCTGCCAATTGAAATTTTTCGATAAAAATCTAAGCACCTATACTATCGAAAGATTTTTTAGTATACTGAGAAGCGTGAAAATATGGCTGAGATTAGAAAATGAAGGCTGACGGGACTTTCCCCAATATTCATTTTCAAATATAATTTGTGGTTCAAGTCATGGTTCATGAATATTTTCAACATTTTGTCCTATCCACCCCCCCCCATGTCCATAAATACTGTCCCTGTGAAGTCGGCGGGACCCTACACATTGTCAACGATGATATACAATGACAATATGGTCCAACGTTTTATGAGTATATTAATGATTGATATCACGCACATAATGGCACACTAGATCGAATCTTCCTCAATTATACTTTATTGCTATATTACCAATCCATTAAATCCATTTGAAGATGAGAGTTTCTTACACACAAAAACAGAATATGACTCGATTAATAAGTATATTGGTCAAATATACAGAAATCCGGGAGAGCATAGCTTAGCTAGTAAATGCATGTATAGAAGACAACTCTAACTAAAAACGTTCAAATTCAACTACTTACTTATATTCCAAGTATTCGAGTTTTAGTCATGTATAATGCCTTTGAAAATGCCTTTCATGCCTTGTTACATGAATAGATATTATAATGGTGATTCATTTCTTTATACAGATGTGACAAATAGTACAGTGTTGTGTCACTTTTAACAATTTAATTTATTGTTGGAAATACAACACACAAAACAATTGGAATGCTTTTAGGAAATAGCGATAACAAAGCCATATATCTGAAATACCAAGATATCTTTCATCAAATCATATTTTTCCTGTTGCATTTTCATCAAGAACACATAGTTTCTATGTCGACAACATTTCTGGATTTCAATATATTGATTCTGATATATACCTCCACATAATTGTTAATACATTATTAGTTGAATGCTATTTCATCAAATTATGTTCACTTCGAGTCTGAGTATAAACATTTTATTGATAATCACCACTTGATCTCCTTAGGAAATAATCGTGAATATTCGTTATTTCCGTTGGTGAAGGTGATGAAACTTGAAGAGAGTCATTTTATTAGGTTCATAGTGATCAATCTGTGCAGTTTGTCGGGTTTCCGTTTCAACCTATTGTCTGTTTTATGAAATCTTCAATGCTACTGATATAGGTTCATACGTACAGGGTGTTTCTGAATGGAACCCCACATTCAATGGATTGGCTTCTTCTTTTATTTTTAAGACGAGTCCTTTGTTTGCTAGATGAATAGGTCGACATCGAATATCAAATGCAAAAGAGTTCTATGCAAACTGTTTGGACAGAGAAAAAGAGTTCTATCCCGAGGTAAAAAAATAATGTTGACAAAATAGTGTTACTAGTTACTAGTATAATTCGATATAATGACTTCTCTTTCATTTACATGACAAGTTTTGTGTATATTCAGAATTCCTTCCGAGATACAAGAAACTATATAGGGCTAAGGATAATGACAGAATATTTTATCTTTATACAGGGTGTAACTGAATAAGTGTAAAACATTTAAGGAGATGATTCCTCATCGAAAAAAAGATAGGATCTTTCATATAAAGAAACTTCATTGGAGCATCCCTTGTTAAGATACAGCCCCTTAAAGGGGGTACATAAAATTTGTATAACAATTTTTTTCACAAACACTGAAAAAGTCACAATATTGAAATTAACCTGACGTTTTGTACTACCAAAAAGACACTTAGCCAGTAATTTATTTGGTTTACCCCATGGTTGTAAGGGGTGAAAAACGCAACCCCTAAAATTTATTTCCAATGTAACTTTTTGTCTTATTATTTGTTTACCATTTAAAAATTTATTTCCGATAGCCTGTTTCATTCTGAACAAAAAATGTCTCTTGGGTTTTTTGCCCAAAATAAACCAGTAAGCAGCAAAACATTATTTTACGAACAACTACAGAGATACATCGTCATAAATGCGAAAATACGAAACTAATCTATCTAGTAGGTCGCTATTAGCGATAGTGACAATTAAATTGGTATGACGCTGTCAGGTTAATTTCAATATTGTAACTTTTTCAGTGCTTGTGAAAAAAATTGTTATACAAATTTTATGTACCCCCTTTAAGGGGCTGTATCTTAACAAGGGATGCTCCAATGAAGTTTCTTTATATGAAAGATCCTATCTTTTTTTCGATGAGGAATCACCTCCTTAAATGTTTTACACTTATTCAGTTACACCCTGTATAACAGTTATAAAGTGAGTTATATAATATGATAATATGTAATAGTTTCATGCAATAAAAAATGTTTTGTTTTTTCGATTAAGACTTATTCCATATGCAATTTTCGAACCAACAATGAATATTGAAAACAAAATATTGTTGTAAACACAATAAGTTATTGCAATGTTAGTAATCCGAATTTGTAGGTCTATCAATAGAATATGACTAAGAATATGATGAGTTGGTGTAAAATTAACGATATGAGATGGCTAATACAGAATACAGATAATTCATAATGTGCTGAGGTATTCGATGAAATAGTTATAACAGCTAATAACTCTATGAAGATAATGTTGTTGAGAACACAAAATGGTATGAAGTTATCAATTCATCATATTATGATCATATCAACAATGTCGATGATGATTCAGTTGATTACAAATGCAACTGGTAATTCAACTAAGAAATTGTAGACCTACTCTGTTGAATCATCAACGAATTTCCAACAGAGTATTCGTGAACTCACGATGGTATTTTTTTTAGTGTAGTTTTACAGACAATTAATCAACCTCAATATCTGCTGATCAAACACAAAACGAAACATTATAATTACATTATCATGTGGCTGGATGTGACATCAAAATACTAATATTATTCAACATCGATGTCAAATCCATAGCACGATATTAGTAGATTAATTTCTTAGAAGTAGATAAAATGGAATTCTAAAAAAACTACCAAGAAATTTCGTGAAGGGCTTTATCGAATGTAATACCACTAGTGGTTTGATTTAGCCGGATATATCTCCTTCGCTTTTCACGGAATCTCAGGGTTTGTGATTGAATTGGACGAAAATAAATTCGGACGAGAAAAAATACGAGTGCAGTTCGAGTGATTTTTGTCCTTCCATCAAATTTCGTAGATCAGAAGTAGAAATACCATGGAGTTCGAGATGAAAGCAACAAAAATATCCTGCCAAAAAT